TAGAATCTAATGGCACGGGTATTCACACCCATGCGATCTAATTCTGCACATCGCACCGCGTTTTGCGGACCGATTTCGGGGTGTTGCTAACTTAACAAACGCAGCCGCAGCGGTTCACATAAACGGGGTGCGATTCTTATGCGGTGCGGAATTCGCACAGAAAACGCTGCCAATTCCGCACCACATCAGTGTGAACCCGGGCTCAATACCACCAAAAGAAAGCTCTGCCTGTCTAAAACTAAAAAAAAAAATTATACTAAATTAGCTTGGGTACAGTGTTGCATGACCGCGCAATTGTCCTGGGCAGGAAGGGGGTAGAAGTGCCCGGTATTGGAAGTGGTTAAACTTCAGCTAAAGTGTCCAACCAGCCAAAAGCTGGGCACAACGGGTTTTTTTTAGTTTTGGATAGAGTGACGGGGGATTTCAAATCCTGTCCTGCTCTGTCTCGGTGACAACAGTTTCACCAAACAGGAAGTTAGGGGAAGTCTCCCAAAAGCAACACAGACAGCTATTAAAAATGGCCTTTTTTTTCAGTAGAATAGAGGACAGCTAGAATCCCCTCCAAATTGGTATTGTTGTCTTTCCCAGGAAATCTGCATACCTGTCTACTGATGAACATCCCCCACCAGCCCTCTCTGAGCATGTGCGCTGTGGTCTCATTAAAGCATTATTAAACCCCAAAACAAACATTTATTATATTGCAACTTACCAATTCTTAGAGGCGATGGCTGCATTCGTTCTGATGGAGAGCTTGTGCCTTTGAAAAAGGCCGGCGAACTTTCCGTCCGGATCACCGGATGAAACTAGAAGAAACAAATTCTTTTGGGTTTAATGCTGCCCCCTGAGTTACTTCATCCAGAGTGGGGGCGCTCTAATACAGGAGGCGTGTTATTGGCCAGATCACCAAAGCCTAAAAAAAGAAAACGAATGCAGCCACTTGTCATGAATCAAAAGGCATGCCCACGGCGACTAGATAACCGAGCCGTGGTCCGTCTATGACTGGGGTAAAGAGGGAATGAGGGGGACTTACTTCAAGCATATAAGGCTGGCCATGATACACTGTCACAGCCTGCATTACCTCTGGCCACCACTAGAAGGAGACTCCACTTCAATCCAGCTGGCTGACCACAAACAGACAGATACAAATCTTATATACAATCTGGTGCACTCTAAGGGTTGGGGAGCAGTCAAGCAATTTGCACACCCTTCTAGGATTCCTCCAGCTATCCTACAAGTTAGAACCCCGGTGTTAATCACTCTTCTACTGTCCACACAACAAACGGTAGCTTGCCACCACCCAACAGTTTATCCGCAGACTGGTCTGCTGGGCCACCACACACACACATATCTCCGTCTGGCAGATCTGTTACTTTACGATCTGCCAAAGTGCAGTGTAATTGCATACAGATTGGCAATGTACTTAGACCAAGCACATAGACACTACAATACAATACAATTGAGCTTAAGTACACAGAAGTCACTTATTCACGGGCCTCCCTAGGGTTGGTGTCACCCGGTGCGGTAACACTTGGTGACGCCCCCTCCAACGATCCCCGCAGAATGGATTGAGCATAATGGATCGGATTCCGGTCCATTATGCTCCCCAATCCGCAGATCCGATCCATCCTGCAGGGATCGTCGGCTTGCTTTACAACTTATCTTTTCGTGGAGCGGGTCCGGTTTCACCCCGTGCGGTATGGTATGTCACCCGGTGCGGCGCGCAACCCCCCGCACCTGCCTCGGGACGCCACTGCACTTATTATTTTATGATTTAATATCCCAAAAGTGGGCAGTACATAAAATATGTACAAAGAAAAAAGAGTTACAGAAAATACAAAAAAGCCACACAATTTGCTATTCACTATGAAATAAAAAGGGAATAAAAACAGAAATAAAACTTCTACCAAGATTTATCCTGCGACTGGAGCAAGTCAGAGAAAGTCATATGGAACATGCGCCATATGAATCACCCCGCCCACATCTCAGGGTCCTCAATTTATTGAAATATGGATGTGGGCTGGACTATAGCCCTTGGCCTATCAACCTGGGGGGGACCTATATCAGCCCACAGGATGTTCTGGGGTTTATTTACTCAAGCTGGAGAGTCCAAAATCAGACTCCCTTCTGCATAGAAACCAATCAGCTTCTAACCTCAGCTTGTTCAATGAAGCTTTGACAATGAAACCTGGAAGCTGATTGGTTTCTATGCAGAAGGGAGTCTGATTTTGGACTCTCCAGCTTTAGTAAATAAACCCCTCTGTGTTCTAAAGTGCCCAATCTCAATTGGACCAGGAATGGTTTGGATCACCAGGCACAGGGATAGAATTTCCGACACCAGCGCATCAGTCCGATCACGACAGTACCAATCTGTCAGGGCTCCGGGTATGACCAGAGGTGTGTGGTCTGACACAGGGAAACGCAGGCTTCAGGTATAGTATAAACAATATAATTTATTTAAGACTAAACAATACATAAACGCAGTGCAAGATTAAACATAAACACAGTGCAAACAAACCAAACCAAAACCCCCCAACAGATAACAAAAGAACAATACTAAGCGTAGTCGGGCAGGCCGGGTTGGTAGCAAACGGGCAGGAAAGGTACAAAGGAGCAGGCAGAGCGTAGTCAGACGGGCCGGGTCAGAAACAATCAGGCAGACAAGGTACAAAGGAGCAGGCAGAGCGTAGTCAGACGGGCCGGGTCAGAAACAATCAGGCAGACAAGGTACAAAGGAGCAGACTGGAGAGTGGTCAGGAATAGCAGAGGTCAGGACAGGCGGAGTTCAATCAGAGTCAGGGATCAAGCAGGATCAGACAGGATGCAGGTACAGGGGCTGTTGGGAAACATACACCAAGGCCCTGATCACAGGCCTGGCCATTCCTTATATGCACCTTCTGCAATCAGCCTCAGGTGTTTTGGCTGACTGCAGGAGTGAGCCTCTGGTTGCTGAAAGCACCCGCTGGCCAGTCCTGGTACTGCAACCCACAAGGCAGGTGAGTCCCACCACTATTGGCGAGTCCATTCCTGACACAATCACTGTTCAGCTGTCGCAATCAGGCGCCATATAACCGTTTCTCTGGGATTCTATGGAGGCTACAAATACACTTTTACATGTAGATGGAGCCTAAAATGTGTCCAATCAGAAGGAATTATTTTAATTTCTCCATAACTAATATTTTTGCTTTTATGAGAGATGAAATAGATTCCTCTGATCTGTGGATATAAATCAGAGCTGGCATTTCGGAGCCCTCTCCTGGTCCCCTGCGGTTTCTGGAAGCCGAAATGGCTAGAGCTCTTCTTTTAGATTTCAAGAAGGTTTCACCTCTAGCCTAGAAGCTGCTCTGTCCTTTCAGATGCTAATTGGTGAACATATGTCTCTGACTGAATAGTGAACACTGATCTGCAATAACACGGAATGAAACTAGATCTACAATTACATATTTCTACTGATCACATCTCAGCTACCCGACTCTTACATTGATGTTACACCACCACATCTAGTGATGAGTAAGCTGCAATATAATACATTTTTGGTGTTGGGTTTAATACTGGTTCCTATAGATGAGCTGTTGGGGCCCCCAGCCTTCCAGCGGAGCATGGCTCGCTATAAGAGTAAATGGGACCAGAGCACACATGCACAGTAAGAAGAGCACCCAGTAGGTGCAATTACCAAGCAAGGGTTGAGTAATGCTGGGCCCTACAGCGGATATCATTGTAAAAAGGGGGAAGGTATTTTTCACCAAGCAGACTGCACTCAGTGGGCAGGCTAGAGAAGTGCTGAACTTACTATCAGTTGATTTTCCGCTGTACGTGTCCGGCTGGGAAGATTTCCCTTCACTTCCTGTCTTGGAAATGAAACAGGAAGTGAAAAGGAAATATCCCCAAAGCAAGGGGACGTTTTATCATAGACAGCTGTTCCTTCCAGGTTCGTGGGCTCTGGTCGCTTGAATGAGCAAGCCGCGGTGATGTCACTCCCGTGCGTATGCTCTGGAGGGATGGCATGAGTATGCTGTCCCTTGAGAGCTCATGCATAAGTGATATCACTGGCTCCTGTTCACTGGAATATCTTCTAAACTGTGCAAGTTTAGGAAATATTCATTTTACCTACGGGCAAGCGTTATTATAAGATCAGTAGGTAAAAATAGCAGAAAGAGTTTACTGCCACTTTAAATCCAAGACAAAGGTGGGTACTCCAGGCCAGGGGCGGACTGACAACTCATGGGGCCCCCGGGCAATAGGGGATCATGGAGCCCCTGTGTCCTTGCCCAAACTCAAAATAGCCTATGGAAAAGGTACCAGGGGCATCTCATGGGGCCCCCTACTGACCCCGGGCCCTCGGGCAGTGCCCGAGTTTCCAAATGGTCAGTCCGCCCCTGCTCCAGGCTCTACCACCACCACTTGCTAAGGAAACCACCACCTTGAAGGAACAGATGTAAGTTTGCGAACAGCAGTGGACCTTCTAACTAAAGAGCGGTCAATAATGGCTCACCTGGACTACAACACTTCCATTGGCGGTGTTCAGAGGCTTCCATACTGAGTGTCCCTTGTATCCTTCTTAGCTCTCCTTACAAAAAAAAAGGGAAATCACATAGCATAAATCCTTTTAAAACATTTATGAGTAACATTTCACTCACATGTGAATTAAGGCCTTCCAGCCAGCATACACAATTACTGCCATTTCTGAATTACGCGATGAAGTCATTATGCCAGTCCGCCCTATGCTTTTTTTCACAACTGACTTCTTCCAGGGCCACCAAATGGAAGACCAGGACCACCAAAAGAATGGTGAACTCCTCCAGTGGGGAGATAGACTGAAATAAAACTGGGGAGAGGGCCTAACTCATTCCACTCTATCCAAAACTAAAAAACAATTAAAGTTTTGTCTTTACATACGCTTTCACTAAAAGACCACGGTACTAAAGTTGTCCTTTCCAGTTTTTATAAAGATTTTAGTGATTGGGTTTACATCCATTTTAACGATCTCTTTTATTGTGTTTTAGGTTATTGGGAAAGCATTCGCCGTTCTCAGTGATCCAGCTAAAAGGAAAGTTTATGATGAGTCACAAAGCCGAACACAAGCTTCCCCAGAAGCAGACATGTCAACCAATGACGTCTTTGATATGTTCTTCAGGGGTCACTATTCAGCCCGAGCGGCCTACGGCTTTAATGGTCATCCAAGAGAGCAAAGGCGAGCAAGCAGAGAAGATGATGGAAGATGGCAGAGGTGGGCAGCTGGAGAGGAGAGACAGGACATACCAAGATGGCAAAGGGAGGAGATGAGGCATAACACGGAACAAGAGTGGAGATGGAGAGAAGAGATGTATAACGAAGGGAGAAGACAGTGGCAGTGGGAGAAAGATCAGAAACAAGATGGCGGACAACCAAAATGGCAGAAGGAAGCCAAGCGGGAGCCAGGCAGGCCAAAAACTCAGCAAGAAAGGAGGCAAGATGCTGGAAGGACCAGCCCAAAGTGGTGGGAAAAGAAAGGTCAAGACAACCGAAAATCAAGGTGGCGTGAAGAAATGGAGAAACAAAATCTCAGACGGCCAAGGAGACCAGAGGAGGAAGAAGAAGGAGGTCGGCCCAAAAATGCATACTCTGCTTTTATCCAGGTCCTCCCAGTGCTTATTCTTGTGGTGGTCTCTGTGGTGGCTCAGTTGACCGCCACCACACCACCATACAGTCTCCATCCTAGACCGTCTTCTGGCTTAACCATCTCCAGGGAAACCAGCAGCCGCGGAGTCCCATACTATGTCGGGCAAAATTTTCACACACGTTATCGAGGGCCAGCTCTGGCAGAGCTGGAGAGGGCTGTGGAGAAAGAGTATGCAGAACAAGTCCAGGCCGGATGTTGGAGAGAGAAACAACAAAGATCTGATCTAGCCAATCTGGCTCGGCTCTATAGGGACGAGAGACTAAGAGAAAAAGCCGACACTTTCAAAATGGAGAACTGTCGCAAGTTGTCAGACCTCATAGGTATACGCAGAGGTGGCTAAGGTGGAACAGTGAAATTCAAATTAGTCCATCTACTTCATCTTCATGAGATCTTAGAATGATGACCAGTTTCAGCATTTAGAAATAACTGTACTTAACCTTTCTACTACTCGTTAATATTACCGCTAATGACTTTTTGCAAACACTGGAGCCTGTAACCTAATAGGATATCTACAAATTGCCTGTCTAAATGCCCATACTCACAGGCTTTTTATACTTGCCCTAAGATGTACGACTGAGCATAATATCCATGGGAAGGTGTTTTGAGGAGCATTCAAGTCAAAACACAGAATTAATTAACCCAATTTTGCAGTGACTTTCAACTTGGCATTATTGAGTACACCAGGTTTCTCTGCTCTTCAAATCCATGTGGTCCTTGGTAATGAAATCTCCTGATCTCACCGTAATTTAACAAACCTATTACCACTAAAATCCCAAATCCATTCGTCTACAAAGATTGAAGTAAATATGACCTGACCTAAAATGTTTCTAAGGTAACAGAGCTCCTTAAGTGTAGGACCTTGTGGTGCCTCCAAATGTTTGTGTAGATCTGGAAACTGACCTTTGTGTTCCTGTAGAATCCACGTGGATCCTAGGCCCAGGTTGAAAATGGAACTTCATTTGAAAACTGACCTTTGTGTTCCTGTGGAATCTGCTTAGATCCTAGGCCCAGGCTAAACACGGAACCTAATTTGGAAACTGACTCTTGTGTTCCTGTAGAGTCCACTTGGATCCTTGGCCCAGGTTGAACATAGAACCTAATTTGGAAACTGACCCTTGTGTTCCTGTAGAGTCCACTTGGATCCTTGGCACAGGTTGACCATAGAACCTAATTTGGAAACTGACCCTTGTGTTCCTGTAGGGTCCCCTTGGATCCTTGGCCCAGGTTGAACATAGAACCTAATATGGAAACTGACTCTTGTGTTCCTGTGGAATCTACGTAAAGCCTAGGCCCCGGCTGAATATGGAACCTAATTTGGAAACTGACCCTTGTGTTCCTGTACAATCCACTTTGATCCTAGGCCCAGGCTGAACACAGAAACTAATTTGGAATTTGACCCCTGTGTTCCTGTAGAGTCCACTTGGATCCTTCGCCCAAGTTCAACATAGAACCTAATTTGGAAACTGACCCTTGTGTTCCTGTACAATCCACTTGGATCCTAGGCCCAGATTTAGCATGGAACCTAATTTAGAAACTTACCCTTATGTTCCTGTAGAATCCACTTGGAGCCTAGGCCCAGGATGAACACGGAACTTAATTTGGAAACTGACCCTTGTGTTCCTGTAGAGTCCACCTGGATCCTAGGCCCAGGTTGAACATGGAACCTAATTTGGAAACTGACCCTTGTCTTTCTGTGGAATCTATTTAGAGCCTAGGCCCCGGCTGAATACGGAACCTAATTTGGAAACTGACCCTTGTGTTCCTGTAGAATCCACTTGGATCCTAGGCCCAGGTTGAACACGGAACCTAATTTAGAAACTGACCCTTGTCTTCCTGTAGAATCCACTTGGATCCTAGGCCCAGGTTGAACACGGAACCTAATTTAGAAACTGACCCTTGTGTTCCTGTAGAATCCACTTGGATCCTAGGCCCAGGTTGAACACGGAACCTAATTTAGAAACTGACCCTTGTGTTCCTGTAGAATTCACTTGGATCCCAGGCCCAGATTTAGCATGGAACCTAATTTAGAAACTTACCCTTATGTTCCTGTAGAATCCACTTGGAGCCTAGGCCCAGGATGAACACGGAACCTAATTTGGAAACTGACCCTTGTGTTCCTGTAGCATCTACTGGGATCCTAGGCCCAGCTTGAACACGGAACCTAATTTGTCAACTGACCCTCGTGTTCCTGTAGAGTCCACTTGGATCCTAGGCCAGGTTGAACAAGGAAACTAATTTGGAAACTGATGCTTGTGATCCTATAGCATCTACTTGGAACCTAGGCTCAGGCTGATCACGGAACTTCAATTTCTCTGCAAACAAAGATTAGGCTCTGCCCCTCAGTGACACTAAGCCCTTCCCCCTGCAAGACTGCTTTTAAATACTCTTACTTTAGTGGACATTAGAGGTTTTGGTATGTGAAGAACAGGGATAGTGGTTAGACCCAGAATGAGTTTAGGCTTAGTCTCAATATGGGCAGAAAAACAATGGTTCATGTACAACCTTAGCCTAAGATCCAGGCGGGCTCCTTAGGGACATAGGGATTGACTATCACAAGTACTTGGATGCACCACACGGCGACTGCTCCTCAGCACTGTTCTTAAAGTGAATGGTTGAATCATTCTCAGTTTTTGGGAAGTTCAGTATGGAGATTGTCATGTCATGGTTCCTCTCCTTCACCTGTCTCAGAGTTCTAGATGTTCCTGTCCACCTTCAGCCCTTCCCACACATGCTGCTGTATCCTTCGAAAAAAAAGCACATATGAATGAATAAACTGGTATAATGGCATTCCCTCATTATGGGTGAAGCAGGTGTGCCGACCCGGGAAGCAGATGCAGAGACCTCAACTGGGGGGCCGTATAAAAAAAATATCCTGTGAGTATGGGCCCTGTTTTCATTTTATTTTGGATTTGTTACATAGTCTTAGACCCAAAATCGGGACACATCAGACGTACTTTAGTGAGACTCATACTGTGAACTACATGCTAACGAACAAAGAAAGTGCCAAAATCCCATCCAGGAACCTGTCTTCAACAAGACCCGTAAAATGAACAAATGTGTGTCGTACCGATGCTGTCCAGCAGGTGGCACCAGTGATGTGAAGGATATATTTTATGTATAGGTTCACTTATTTATTTGTATGCAGCACCTTACTCTGAACGACACCTTACGGGAATAAAAGCAGCATTAAACATTAGGATTGTAGAGTGCTCCTTTAATTTAAAGCTGAAATCCCTTTCATAGGCTTTTTTGGGTGTGGTTTGAGTGTGGGCGAGAACACAGGGGCCCCATAATCCCCTATTGCCCGGGGGCCCCATGAGTTGTCAGTCCGACCCTGAGATGCCCCTGGTACCTTTCATAGGCTTTTTTGGGTGTGGTTTCCATACGGGAATAAAAGCAGCATTAAACATTGGGATTGTAGAGTGCTCCTTTAATTTAAAGCTGAAATCCCGCTGTACTTAAACATTCACCTTGCAGTCAGGGGCTGACTGACCATTTGGGCACTGTCCGAGGGCCCGGGGTCAGTAGGAGGCCCCATGAGATGCCCCTGGTACCTTTTCATAGGCTTTTTTGGGTGTGGTTTGAGTGTGGGCGAGGACACAGGGGCCCCATAATCCCCTATTGCCCGGGGGCCCCATGAGTTGTCAGTCCGCCCCTAAGATGCCCCTGGTACCTTTCATAGGCTTTTTTGGGTGTGGTTTGAGTGTGGGCGAGGACACAGGGGCCCCATAATCCCCTATTACCCGGGGGCCCCATGAGTTGTTAGTCCACCCCTGAGATGCCCCTGGTACCTTTCATAGGCTTTTTTAAGTGTGGTTTGAGTGTGGGCAAGGACACAGGGGCCCCATAATCCCCTATTGCCCGGGGGCCCCATGAGTTGTCAGTCCGCCCCTAAGATGCCCCTGGTACCTTTCATAGGCTTTTTTGGGTGTGGTTTGAGTGTGGGCGAGGACACAGGGGCCCCATAATCCCCTATTGCCTGGGGGCCCCATGAGTTGTCAGTCCGCCCCTAAAATGCCCCTGGTACCTTTCATAGGCTTTTTTGGGTGTGGTTTGAGTGTGGGCAAGGACACAGGGGCCCCATAATCCCCTATTACCCGGGGGCCCCATGAGTTGTTAGTCCACCCCTGAGATGCCCCTGGTACCTTTCATAGGCTTTTTTAAGTGTGGTTTGAGTGTGGGCAAGGACACAGGGGCCCCATAATCCCCTATTGCCCGGGGGCCCCATGAGTTGTCAGTCCGCCCCTGAGATGCCCCTGGTACCTTTCATAGGATTTTTTGGGTGTGGTTTGAGTGTGGGCAAGGACACAGGGGCCCCATAATCCCCTATTGCCCAGGGGCCCCATGAGTTGTCAGTCCGCCCCTGAGATGCCCCTGGTACCTTTCATAGGCTTTTTTGGGTATGGTTTGAGTGTGGGCGAGGACACAGGGGCCCCATAATCCCCTATTACCCGGGGGCCCCATGAGTTGTTAGTCCACCCCTGAGATGCCCCTGGTACCTTTCATAGGCTTTTTTGGGTGTGGTTTGAGTGTGGGCGAGGACACAGGGGCCCCATAATCCCCTATTACCCGGGGGCCCCATGAGTTGTTAGTCCACCCCTGAGATGCCCCTGGTACCTTTCATAGGCTTTTTTAAGTGTGGTTTGAGTGTGGGCAAGGACACAGGGGCCCCATAATCCCCTATTGCCCGGGGGCCCCATGAGTTGTCAGTCCGCCCCTGAGATGCCCCTGGTACCTTTCATAGGATTTTTTGGGTGTGGTTTGAGTGTGGGCAAGGACACAGGGGCCCCATAATCCCCTATTGCCCGGGGGCCCCATGAGTTGTCAGTCCGCCCCTGAGATGCCCCTGGTACCTTTCATAGGCTTTTTTGGGTGTGGTTTGAGTGTGGACGAGGACACAGGGGCCCCATAATCCCCTATTGCCCGGGGGCCCATGAGTTGTCAGTCCGCCCCTGAGATGCCAATGGTACCTTTCATAGGCTTTTTTGGGTGTGGTTTGAGTGTGGGCGAGGACACAGGGGCCCAAAAATCCCCTATTGCCCGGGGGCCCCATGAGTTGTCAGTCCGCCCCTGCTTGCAGTACACCCAGCCCCCATCTCTGCACTGCACGGTTGAAGGCTTTGTCTATGGGGGGGGGATAATTAAGGTGACATTTTTGTTCCTCGCTCCCGCAGGCTTCCTTCTCTCTGTACAAAGCGGCTTTTGTTTGTTGCAGGTCACTGATGTCATCTGTCCTCCTCCTGCGGGGAGATACAGAATGGAGGCTGCCCATACATTATACAATCTACTTCAGATCTTCCATCAGCTCTGTAGTGCAAGGATTTGCCTGATTGGATGCAC